TAGAAATATCTCTTGCACACTACAATTATATAAATATTTATCTGTATTTTTATGCAGTGCTCTAAGATTTTTTTACATAACTCTCCTAATCTATGACACTTTTCTCATACAAAATGCCAAATAATGAATTTCACTGCCAAAATACAATTATGAACTATTTTAATGTGAGACCATAAGCTGAGAGTAAGTTATTGTAATTTATAATGAAATGCATCAATTCTTATTAGATTAAGGCAATGCAGATTAAGATGCCTGTAATTATAGAATGATAATTTGGTGAGTTGGGAAGAGCATGTTACTAAGAGGTACACAATAGCACATTGGGTTCTAGTCCTGACTCCAGTAATAATTAGTTAGGGGATGATGGGAATTCATTTGACTGAGCTTCAGTTTGCTCCTTTCTCTAGGGAGGGCATTGGACCCCTGGATGACCTCAGGAAGGTACTCAGGGCACCAAAGGGCCAAGACTCTCTACATGGACTAAGGGAACAAAATAGCCAAAATACCAGCTCCTTTGTTCTAAAGTGCAACATACTGCATTTCAGGGGCCAGAGCTCAAGAAAACAAGGGCTGAAATTGTGCCCACTTCTTTGAGCTAACAGACAGTTATCTCCCCTCAGAAGAATGGGACATGGCTTTTAAAGCACTTATCTGAGTTCGCTGTAACAAAGAACAGAAATGCATTTTTGTAAACTGGACTGCTTTGATACATTGTAAATGATTGTTCACTGTTCTGTTTCAGCATTTCTTAAAGCAATGCTAAGGACACTGCTCTGCTAAGAGTACCCATCAAAGAGGAGTTTGTCTTTCAAGAGCCTGGAGCTTGAAAAAACTAGCAGTCTACCCAGAATGATATTAACAATATGTAACAAACATGACACAGGCACCAACTGCTCAGAAAGGACTGGAGCTACAAACTACAGATCTGCTGCAACTTATGATAAGCTTGGGTCCCAAGAAACCCATCATAAGTTGAAAATATCTCAAATTGAAAGTGCCTTTAATACACCTCACCTACCAAACAGCGTAGCTCAGCCTAACCTACCTTAAACATGCCCAGAACACTGACATTAGCCGACAATAGGGCAAAATCATCTAAAAATCACAAAGCTTATTTTATAATAAAGTGTCAAATATCTCCTGTAATTTATTGAATACTGTACTGAAATTAAAAACCCGGAATGGCAGTAGTGTATCGGCTGTTTACCCTCGTGATTCCGTGGCTGACTGGAGAGAGCATCGTACTGCAAGTAGCTATCCCTGGAAGAGATCAAAATTCAATATTTGAAGTGCAGTTTTTACTGAATGCGTTATCACTTTTGCACTGTCATAAGGTCAAACCATCCTAAGTTGGAGACCATCTGTATTGCTTTGCTTTTATTGGGGGTGGGGGTGCGGGTAGCAGCTAAACATCATGCCTGAATGAACACTGAGAACCAGAGAAATTGGAAAGTGTGCCAAAACTAGCTAGGAACTTGGGACAGAACAGAGAATAATAAACAAGGTCCCTGCCATTCTAGAGCATGCTTTATCTAGGGGAAAGAGATAATCAACAATAAAACAAATATGTAATAATTTCAGATAATCATAACTGCTTTAAAGAAAATTAAGCAGGTTAAGTGGATAGAGTGACCAAGAGTGGCAGTATTTTCAGTGGAGTGTTCCAAGAAGGTTCTCCAAGATTTGATACTTGAACAGAGAACTAAATGATGCAGAAACAGTTACTGAAGACTTGGAGAAAGGGCATCTGAGCCAGCAACAAATTTAGACCCAAGGGGAGAAGCAGCTTGGGGTGTTGTTTGAAAGACTGTAAGAAGGCTAGTGTAGTGGTGGCGGGGGTGGGGGGTGGATAGTGAGAAACCTAGAACATCAAATCAGAGATGGACATCAGGAGATGAGGCAGGCCATGGTCAGCTCTTATAAAACCAGATCCTGAGTGCAGTGGAAAGCTGCTGGAGTATTTTAAGCAGAAGACAGAAGTGGTTTGATTTATAGTTTAAAAAGATACTAATGAAATCGAATTGAGAGCCCAGAAATAAATCCGTGCAAATAGGTCAACTAATATTTGACAGTGGAACCAAGAATACTCAATGGAGAAAAGAGAGTCTTTGAATAAATGGTGTTGGAAAAACTAGATACTGAAATGCAAAAGAATGAAATCGAACCCCTCTCTTACACTACTCATGAGAAACTAACTTGCAATTGATTAAAGATTTAAATGTTAAGCCCTGAAACCGTAAAACTCCTAGAAGAGAACATAGGGAGAATGCTCCTTGACATTGGTCTTAGCACTGATTTTTTTAACATGATACCAAAAGCAAAGGCAGTAAGTGCAAAAAGTAAGCAGCAGCCAGACTATATCAAACTAAAAAGCTTCTGCACAGCAAAGAAATCATCAACAGAGGGGGAGGGTGGAGCTCAGGCGGTGGAGTGCATGCTTACCATCCATGAGGTCCTGGGCTCAATCCCCAGCACCTCCTCTAAAAATAAATAAATAGGCAAACCTAATTACCTCCCCCCACCAAAAAAAAAAAAAAAAAAAAAGAAAGAAAAAAAAGAAAAAATCAACAGAATGAACTGACAACCTACAGAATGGGAGAAAGTATTTCCAAACTACGTATCTGATAAGAAGTTAACATCAGAACTGTATAAAGAACTCATATGATTTAATACCAAAAAACCCCCAAATAATACGAGTTAAAAATGAGCAGAGCCTGGGAGAGGGACTGGGCATGGGAGGCCGGAGGTGGCGGACAGGGTGAGGTATCAAAAAAACAAAAATGAACAGAGGGCCCAAATAAACATTTTTCCAAAAGCATTTAAATGGTCAACAGGTACATGAAAAGATGCTAACCATCACTGATCATCAGGGAAAAGCAAATCAAAACCATAGTGACAGGCTTGTGGTTGCCAGGAGGGAGCGAGCTGGGAAGGGATAAACTGGGAGTTCAAGATTGGCAGATACTGACTGGTATCTATAAAATAGATTTTAAAAAATTGTGCTGTATAACATAGGGAAATATATTCGATATCTTGTAGTAGCTTACAGTGAAAAAGAACATGGAAATGAATATATGTATGTTCATGTATGACTGAACCACTGTGTTGTGCACCAGAAATTGACACCACATTGTAAACTGGCTGTACTTCAATTTAAAAAAAAACCATAATGAGATGTCACCTTGCACTTGCCGGAATGGCTGTTATCAAAAAGACAAGAGATAATTAGTATTGTTGAGACTGTGGAAAAAAGGAAACCCTAATGCACTTTTGGTGGGAATGTAAGTTGATGCAACCACTATTAAATTTAAATACAACTAGCATATGATCCAGTAATCTCGTTTCTGGATATGTATTCGAATGAAATGAAATCACTATATTGAAGAGCTCGCTGCAGCCCCATGTTAGTTGCATTCTTCACAATAGCCAAGACACCTGCTTAATTTATGTGTTTCCATTTTGAACTCCTTAAGGGCAGAGATAGTTTCTTATTTCCTTATGAGTCTACCCTTAGCTTAGAATTCATCACAGTAGATGGGATGAATGAGTAAACTGAAAATTCTATCATCTGAGGATGCTTGTGTCTTATTATCTTACCTGATATATGCCCTCCCACCAACAGACTCTTCAAGACATAGAGAAGCCACTGGCTTTCTACCTGTCCATCAGTTTACAAAGACACATAAAAGTCACCATTAATTTGTCTGCACATATCCTTCTGCTGTGAGAATTCAGCGTCTTTTTCATGTATATTCTGTCTTGCAGAGTGCAGGGGCCACATATTCTCTTTCTTTCCTATCTTCCGTGAGGCTGAGATTAGGATAATGGTGTCCAGCCAGTTATTAATGGATGTTCACTCCTTGAAACCCACATTTGCCTTAGTTCCCTCTGGTAAACAACTAAAACGTTCTTCAAGGTAGACAATTATATGTAAACCAGTCTCATCGTGAGCAATTGACAAATGCATTTCCAGCTCCTCAAAATGTTAATGAAATTTAGACCTGATCCTTAGCCCTCATTCAGTAAGGATGCTTGGGGAAATAAGCTGTCAGATTTAAGTGGCTGATTGTTTCTCAGCAACATCTTAATACACCTCCTTACTCCCTGGTCAGGCTGGAAGCAATTAACCAAGGTGATGTATTTCAGCAGGGTCAAGAAAGCATGTGAGACTTGTGGATGTGGTAGAATCCGCTCTCCTTTTCCATTATGTTTTTAAAACTTAGACTGGTGCTAGAGTATCGTGAAAGGCACAGACAGATCGGGAAGAAGTTTTGCCTTTCTCCGAGGTCTATTGCTATCACAGATCCTTTAAGGCTTCTCTGACATAACTAACTTCCTCAAGTCTGCTCTTTACTTTCTTTGCTTGAGTGGGTAGTCCTTTGTCCCTCCCACAGCCATTTTCTTCCTCACATTTCTTCAAAGAATCAGGCTTAGCACCTTGTTAGTTAATTTATCTTTGAAAAGATCACTGATACTGTAACTTAGTTCAGCAGGCAGGATTGAACATGACGCAAAATGTAGTTCAAACCAAATAAATGTCAGTACTGATAATAATTACTATTTCTCTTTAAGTGGTTTATTAAGTGCTAGTTACAGTTAAGAATTAATGCATTCAGTTTTCAAAACAACCCTGTAATTTAAGCATCCCAAACCAGCCTTTTACAGGAGAAGAGAAGGATTGGAGAAGTTAAGTAGATTTCCTGAGTTCACACAGCCAGTAGATGGCTGAAGTTAAAATCTGAAGTTAAAATCCTGTCTGCACATTTTTTTGTTTCACTGGTGTTTGTAGTAAGCGTGAATGCAGTTGCCCATGGCTTGAATGACAGGGGTTCTTGAGGAGAGGTGCTTAAGACAGATGGTGACCTGTTTAGCAGGAAGGCAGCCCGTATTCGTGTTGTCACTTAGTTGGAAGAAGATTCAGATGACTGAGATGAAACTGTGCATGTAATACATTGAACAGAGGTTGGCCTGGCTCACATGGATGTTTCTTTGCCTTCTAGGAAGATTTCCAACCCGCAGCAGCCTCAGAGACCAACTGGGAGTCGGTCACAAGCTCTATCTCAGTAAGTAATTTATTTTTCTGTTGCCTGCAAAAACAACTGAAGTAGTAGCTAAGGTCAACCCTCGGATGACTTTGGCGGCGTTAAGGATCTATGGCTTGACCTGAAGCCAGATCTCAGACGTGACGTGTTCTTCCATTTCATTTAGGGTACAGTAGGCTGTGTCAGATGCCTTTTTCCCTTCTCTTTCGGAACAGTTTCCAGGAAATGTCAGTACCCATTGTAGGAACACGAGATAGACAATGACTTAAGCATTTATCGGTTTCAAAGCAGAACATTCCAACTAAAGGATTGTCCAGACATATCAAATGTATGAAACTGATCCAGGGCCCAAGCTCAAGCGGGGAATTTTGAAATAGTTGTTTTTTTTTTTTAATATTCCAGGGGAAGCTTTTAACCTTTGCATTTTCAAAGATCTTTTCAGACATGAAAAATCCCAATGTTTATGGTAAGATAGCTTAAGTGCAAGCCAGGCTTGTGTTCTATTTGACTTGGAAATAAAACATAATTCACCCTGAAACCGGAGAATGGTTTCATGCCCCAATTTTTTCCTCCAGATTTAGTCATTTCTCGGTATTCTGTCTGCTTATCTGCTTTGGACAGAAGGGTGGACTTTGTTCTCACCAATCCTACGGGTAGCGCTCATGTAGCAATAAAATGCAAGATAATAATTGCAGTTGTTTATTAAAAGATTAAGAGCATGGAGAAAGATTGTCCATGGTTTTAAAGTGGGTTAGTGAGGCTGAGTCAGGGTTAATATTTTTTTTTCCAAAAGTTATATTCTATCTTTTGTTCTCTGGGGGATTTTTTAAAAAATTCCCTCAGATGCCAGGGATTTCCCCAGCGATGGAATCTGCGACTATTTGGTTCCTCTGATGTGGTTTCTGGACTAAAACAAGATCCAATCAAGGGATCAGTGAGGTCTCTAATGGTGATATTGAGTGTTTTGTTTGATTTCTGACAGTCAGGAATGCACGCTCTGAACCTCACTAAGTGTGAGCAGGTGAAAATTAAATTAAAGCAGGTGATGCTGGGGAGCCGGGGGGCTGAGACTGACAATTCAAGGTGGATGCAGCTTTTGCCTGCAGGACCTAGTGCGCTGTTTTATCAAGATGCTGGGGGTGAACAGGTTCTTGCCTGGTACAGGAAAGAATTCAGGAGCAAGGCATGGTAAAGTGAAAGCAAGTTTATTTAGAGATACACGCTCCATGGACAGGGTGCGGTCTGTCTCAGTCAAAAGAGAAAATGACTTAGGAGACACACACTCGGTAGGCAGATTGAGGGCCATCTCAGAAAGGGGAGAGGGAGAGAAGCTGAGAGGTGGGATGTTTAAAGTAAAAATAAATACACATTCCATAGACAGAGTGCGGGCCGTCTCAGAAAGTGAGAGAGTGAGAGGGACCATGAGGTGCGGGGTTGTCAGGTTTTATGGGCTCGGTAATTTCATATGCTAATGGGTAGGAGGGTTACTCCAGCTACTTTGGGGAAGAGGCGAGGATTTCCAGGAAACGCCCCTTGCCCACCTACTTTTTCACCTTTTATGGTCAGCCTGGGAACTGTCATGGCACCTGTGGGAGCACCATGAGGCTCAAGGTCAACTGGAAGTCAAACCTCCCGCCACCTTGGTTCTAACCTGTGTGTCCTGTCCTCAGTGGCTGTGTCATTCCTTCACTGGTTGCGCCCTGCCCCTTTCCTCCCACTTCAAAGAGACCCTCTGGCTTCTCAAGTATCTTATACATGATAGTGCAGGGTTATCTAATCATCCCCACCCCAAAGGGGGAAGTTACAAGCTTAACTAATTCAGGATAATCCAGGTCTTAAGGAGGATTGTCCCATCCATTTGAAGTACCTACGAAGCTCAACACTAAGCCTGTATCTATTGACATCACTTGTGGGTTGCATTCGAAGTCCAGGTTCTGTTGAGTCTTCTAGGAAGACCAGGGAGACCTCACTTCTTTTCTCAGCAGTCTGATTTTCAAGAACTTTCTGGCGTAGAAGCAAGGGTCCTTGGACCTACCATTTACTTCTGTATCAGTCATTCTTTGTTTTGGTTGAAACCAGTTTATAGTTTTCAGACTATTTTTGTTGTCATTTTAAAGTAATTCACTTGGCTTTAAAATTGATTTTTATAAACACGTAACAAAAGCTGAATGAGATCAAATTTACAAACCAGTGGAAAGAGGCACACCCAACGAGTCTTTCTCTCAAAAATAGTTTTTAAGTAGCTGCCGCAGAAACAGAAGTGTTCCTGTGGGTTTATTATGTCCCCTAATCACTTATAAGTATTTTCTAAACAATCATTAGTGTTTCAAGTCAAAACTTGAAAAACACAGTAAAAGCTCATACTTTCACATTTTACCTATGGTTTGGGTTTGCTTTTCAGACTAATATTAGAAGAGATTAGATTCACGCCTCCCATTCAGGGACTGAGATCCCCTCCACAGCTTTCTCTTGAAGTGGTATCTGGATTCACACTACACTGTTGGGGCTGTTAGGACCAACCCCAGGAAACTCCTTGCCAGGAGTTCCTCAGAGCCATTGTAAGAAGCTTTTGCTTGTGTTTGAATGGTTTGAGTGATGCCCCTGCTTTTGTTTCAAAACAAGAGGGAAGAATTTTAATTTCAAAGCTTTTTTTAATATACTACAATGCATCTAACTTCGGCCAGCTCATTTTGATTGGTTTTTTTTTTTTTTTTGGATCTTAGACCCACATTATTGTGATACAGGGCAAATTGTAAATCATCTGGTGAATATGGGCCAGGTGGAATGCAGACCAGACAATGCAAAGTTGACTAGGAATTTAGAATTTTGGTACTGAATCATAAATTCATCCATCTCTAGCAGACACTGCCAAGAGGGATGTGAAAGACAGAAGTGGTGGCTTCAAACAGGGTTCAGCTTCCATTAGCCACACACACACACACACACACACACACACACACACACACACACGCTCTCCTAGATTAAAGAGCTGACCTGATTCCTTCACCAGTCTACCTCATGGCTCACACCCTGCTCCCCAAATCCCATCTTCCTCTTATTCCCTTTCCCCTACAGGGCATGTTTGAAATCTCCTAAATTACCCCAATCATAGGCTATGCTTTTATAAAAACCTCTTAGTTTTGCTAACGAGGGACTATTCCTCTGAGAGCAAGTGATCTTTTGGGGTCCTTTCGTTAAAAAGAGAAAGCATTACCTGAGAGTGAAAAAAAAAAAAAACATGCACTTTGCTGTCTGGGACTCCAAAACACATATGCACGGTATTTCTCTGTAGGATACTGTGGCTAAGTTTCAGGAATGCAAGTTTTCGTTAATTTCTATTTTTCCGGTAGTGATTTGAGATATTTGCCCTTGGGGGATATTATTTGTTTGGCAGTTTCTTTAAAGACATTTAGAAATCATTTGAGGCTATGTGCTCTCTGTTTCCTTGTTAATGGGTCATGAATTTTTACAGAGATGTTTGACTCATGGCTCATTTACCTCTAGATTATACAAGGGTTAGTGAAGTAAGTGCTTGGAAACTTACGTGGGGATGTATTCCATGGCGAAACAGATAATCCCTTCCAGACGTTCAATGATGTTACATTCCCCATGTAAAGAGTATTCCTGGGAATGTTTTAATGGCAACTGGGATCCCTAGCAAACTACAGCACTTAAAACATCTGGGTGCGCACACACACACACACACACCCATGTGAATCTTCCGAACTCTTAAGAGAGCCAGTTTCATTTCATGGCTAATTATCCTTGTTGACAGTTAATAAGCTGGTTAAAACCAGACTGTACCAAGATGTCTCCAGGGGAAATTCAAACACTGCTCACAGAACCTCTACAATGCTACGTGAGCTATAAAGAGGAGACGTGGAGGCTAAACCTGGGAGAATAAGATGGATTATTCAAAACTTGCATAGAAGGAGTTCAGAATTTAAATGCTCACCATTATTTGTTGATACAGATATGGATGATTTGGGACCTTGAACCAAGAGATTGGATGACTTATTCTGATATTTCCATTTAACTGGTACCTTATTTTAATGATTCTGATTCAAATGATTTGGAAGTTTTATGATCTGCCTGGTTTTGATTTGCAAAAGAGTGAATGACTATGATTTACCAATTAATTGTTCTTAATAGCAATATGGCAAGACTATGCCTTAGCATGAGATGTATGTACATGATGTCTTATAATCAGAAGTCTGATTGTGTCCCTTCCATGTAGTTGTGTGACTGTTATGTTTCATAGCAATGGACTGTTTCTCAGTACACTGAGCTGTATGTCACTCTTAGGGGGTATCCTATCACTCTCCATCAGTAACGGACCCCACTCTCACCGCTGATGCTCTGGACAAAACAGTTGCAGAATTTGATACTGTGGAAGATCTGCTCAAGCACTTCAATCCAGAATCATGGCAAGAAGACCTTGAGAATCTATATTTGGACACTCCTCATTATCGAGGCAGGTCATATCATGACAGAAAGTCAAAAGGTAAGAAACAGAGCCTTGGAGGTTCTTCATAAGCAGATAAGTATTAATAGCAATAAGTAAGGATTTGCAGTGCACCATACTGAATTCATTTAAATCAGGTGATTACTGTCAGTCCAATGTCACGTATCTTTCTCATGACACCTTCAAGTGATGTTCAGTGTTTTGCCCAGAATGAGTTGTTTGGGATAAGAAAGGTTTGATTTAGTCAAAGATCAGTCATAGTTTGGAACTAGAGAAGACCTTATAAAATTATCTGGTCCAACTTTGAGCTTGTTGGCAAATAAGGCATTGTTAGTCCCACCATAAACAGTGGAGAAACCAAAGTCAGGGGAGGTAAATAATTTGCTAAAGGCTGTGTGGCAGTGTAGAGGAAATGGGAGCCATGGTCTCTTGCCTCCAAGGGCAGTGCGTGTGTAATAGTCTGCTGTGCCGCCATGATGGATAGGAATGTTGAATTAGCCCAGGGCTCAGTCAGTGTTGGCAGGAGACGCTCCTGGTAAAACAATGGTCAAAATGCTGGAGGATTTCCACTTCACTCATTCAGTGTCCGTTCTGAAATGGTGTATGAAGTGTGTGGTTGGTGCCCTTGACGATTCATAGGATGGAAATATTCCAAGGAAGAAACAAAGAAGGTCTGGGGTATTTTGGACATGTGTGAGGCCATGCTTTCAATTGGAAGGTTCAGGAAAGCAAAATGAGGGAAAAAGAAAGAAATATTCCGGCAGAGTTAAAATATCATGAGTTAAAACAATAATACTTAAACTCTTAAAAAAATAAATGTCCTAGTCCTGCATCTGAGTGATATGATCTTAGGATGTGAATGTTTATTTGAAAAATCAATAAGGCAACAGAGATACGAAATGACACAATAGAACAGTTGGACTTAGTTCATATTTTTAGGACTTAAGACGTATTTTTAGTTCACATTTTTAGGACCCCAAGAACAGAATATACATTCTTTTCAAGGGCACATGGAATATTCTCTAGGATAGACTACATACTCGGACACAAAAGAAACTTCAGCAAATTTAAGAGGACAGAAATTATTTGAAACATCTTTTCTGACCACAATGGCATGAAACTAGAAATCAACCAAAAAAAAAAAAAAAGAGAGAGAGAAAAAAAACTTCATGGGGACTAAACAACATGATACTGAATGTTTATTTGAATGTTTAACCCAAATTAGTAGGGAAATATATTGTAGTTACCACTTACTGAATAAAACTGTAATTTCTAGTCTGTTATGTCCTTGCTGCTTTGATAAAATTTTCTCTAAGTTTTGTCAGCCTGGCTTTCATCATAGATGTAAAGGTTATGAGAACAGTACGTTCTGTTTCTGGTACTTTGTGATATCGGGGGTGCTTTTAGGAACTGGGAATCTGGGGCCTTCTATAGACAATGTTTGTGTTGGTAAGCATGACCTATTAGAACGTGTAGGCTGAAATGACCAATTAGTCGACTCCTGCCTGGGTCTGTCACTTATGGCTTAGGTCATGGTCATACACACTTAAAGTGCACATCGAAGTGGGGACAACAAAGTCCCTGGTGGCCCTAATGTTACGGAGATATGCCATGTTTAGATCAGTGTAACTCAGATTTCCCCAGAGCTCAGATTAGATTTAACTCAAAGAAGAAACTGCTTTTCTGTAAGGCGTTGCTGTCTTTGGATCTTGACTAGATCAATCTGAAGAAAGGTAATAGACTCCCAATGTTTTGAAAAGCCCTAGAAAAAGATATTAAAAATAGCGTTGGACACATGATAAAATCTGAGTCTGTCTTCAGGTATCTTAACCACTCTGGCTATTTGCGGGACCACCCTTTCTTGACCCCTACTTTTTGAAATAATAAAATTTAAAAATCACCTCAATCTGTTACTTATTTTTCCCCCAGAAATTATGTTGAGTTGGAGGCAAGGTGTCTGTCTGGGCTCAAGTCTTAACCTTGCTACTTACGAGTTTGTGATTTTTTTTCAGTAAGTCACTGATGACTCGTAAGCCTCAGTTTCCTCCTTGGCAACGTGTGTGTGGTAACACCTACTTCCAGGAATTGTCGGTGGTGCCATCAGAGGCATCTGGCACATAGCACTTGTCCAAGAGAAATGTTAGCTGGCTAACGTGAGAATTCGGAAATGTATTTGCATCACTTCCTTGGGGAGCCTTTCTTGTCCTTGTCATCTCCCTGTGAAGACTACCATTCTGCGTAAGGTTTGGAGTTCCTACGATGTCACAGCTTTTATATGTCCAAGGCTTTCATTGTTGTGTCTTTGTGGTTTCTCTAAGGGAATATGAGATCCTAGGATCTAAGGGTTTCAACTCTGGCTGAATATTAAGTTGCCTGGCAAGCTTTATATTAAAAACAAAAAACAAAAAAACTATGGGTGCCTAGTCCTATCCCAGCCACACTGACTCGGATTCTCTGAGGGCGAGGCTGGAGTATTGGTGTTACCTTGTGGCTCCTGGGACATTGAGACCGATCCTGAAGAGGCAGCCAGAGTTGCGAGCCATTGTTTTAGAGACCATTCACCCAGCATTTCTAGCACTTGGGACAGACTTCGACACATGTTAGATGCTCAACTGATGTTTGTGGAACTAAAGATGTCAATAATTCAGAATCAGTATATTTCTAAAGTATCTAGACGAAGAAGTGTAGCTTTATTAAGAGTGTCTTTGGTTACTGAAATGACCTCGCAAGAGCGTTCAAAGTGACATTCTACTTATTTGTGACAGAGTAAATATTTCTCTCCCCATGGGCTTAGGTCCCATTTCTTAATCTCTTGTTTACAATGGCCCTGGGGCAGATCTGGACCCTTTCGTTTAGCACTGGCCATTCACCACTTTCTCTGCACTGTATAAATGTGCTGATTTAATTGCTTCTCATTCCACTGATGCTGACCCACCTGCCTGCGTCACAAAAGCGAAGGAAGGCAGGTTTCATATTTCAGCTGTTATTTTCAGCTTTTAGAACTTAGAAATACAAATTCATGGTTTGTTATCCTGATGTGTAAGAAAGGGGGAAGTGAATAAAAGCGAAAACTGAAAACTGATTATAGTTGATGGAGGTCCATTAGGTATCAAATAAAAAATCTGAACTTTTAGAATCCCTAAAAAGGTGCTCGACCGTCAGTATAATGATTTCTTAATGATGTTATGCAGAAACAGACTTGGCATTTGTGAATATCTGTTGAGCATCCATTGGTCTGTTTACCCAAACTGATCAAAAGTAGCATTTTTCATGAGACTGAAAAGCGAAATTCTAAGATGGCCCTTGAATGTGAATATATAAATCACATTAGAGTTTATAAACTCTAAAATAAAACACAATAAAACACACACACACTGGATGGAGAATTTATGTAGTGAAGTCGGAAACATTTTAGACTTTGCTTCTCCTGCTTATTTGAAGGGAGATTAGGTGACAGTGAGTTTTTAGTTCTCTTTAAGAAGAGACTTGGAAATGGGAAACAGTAAAAGTTTAGGGAGCAGGGGGAGAGAAAAGAGACAGATAACATTGCCAAGTATTGAAGCCAGAACTTCAGCGCGTGAGGTCCACTTTTTTTTTTTTTCAAATTCACGAGTAATAGATAAGCACAAACTTGTCTGCAAAAGCTTCTGGCCTGAAGATAATATAACAAGTTAATATATCCAACTTTCAGTTTCCTAGGGGGTAAGGAGGAAAGGGTAGCATGGATAATTGAAATCTGCTGATAACTGCCGTTCTAAAACCCAATTTTTGCCAGTCATTTCAACCTGGTGCCTTCAACCTCAAAGCTGCCCAAAAGTTTAAAAACAGAAAAGTCATTTCAAATTGAAGTTGCATTTACTTCTTCTGATAAACTTGCTAATGACATAGCAGATTTACACACAATTAGATGAAAAGTTATATGGGTTTTCTGCAAACTCTGTAATTACCCCCTGAACCATTGCATGACCACTGTAGTTCAACTGAGCGATAGTATGATTCCTTTAAAACACAATGCTTTGAACTTAGGGACAATGTGTATTTATTTAAGTATATAGCATGGAATCTGACATCTCTAAGTTAAGAAATGACCGGCCGTAAACACCCCTGTACTGGGCATTCATTGAGAGGTGGTTTATGGAAATTAACAACGGAAGTTAGATGCGTTCTTGTACTTATTCCAGAAGAACTTGACTTTGCCACATTAAGAGAGTTTGCCATTGAAAAACCAACACAAAATAACAAGAGGGAAACCAGTTTCACAGTTTGTTGTGACTCAAATATGGATAGAATTGTTGATGCACTCCAGCTTAATAGTTTTGAACTGCAATAATGCTTATAAAAATATTTTTTTCCCAAAGAGTTGCTATTTTCTGATGCACAGGCCGAAACTGATACGCACTTCAAAATGAATAATTTAATATTGCGTGAAGCCAACCTATTGATATTAAATTGATTCCAAATGACAGGGTTTGATATGTATGATTTTCACAGACTGTAAATGGTTGGATGTTGTAACTCTGGGACAGTTACCAACCCATTTCCCGGGATATAACATCAGTTCTGTGATTTCTTACATAACAGTGTTTAGCCATAAGATCTAAAATCCTTGACTCACTAATTTGAGAACTGTAAGTAAATAGCTGGCATATGAAGGGAGGACCAAATGAAATGAGTATGTTTCATATCAAAACGTCTGAATTGGTTCTGAATTCTCTTAGACCCAGATGCCTTTTATTTTTTAATTGGTCGTGTATTGCTGTTTCTCTACCATGCCTTTGCATACTAAATTGAAAGAGACAAATATGATTTAGAATGTAGGAAATAATTTCGGAGTGTACCGGGACATGAACATATTTTAGGAATGAGCTGAAGTCACCATAAATTGAATGCTTGTAACTTCTCTCTCTGCTTACTTGATATCTGGGTAAGAATTTGCAAAAGGCCCTTGGCTGACGCTAATGATCAATCAGAAAAGTCAGTCTTGAAAGGTCGTCCTTCTGTAACTGTCTGTAAATTACGCAAACAGAGGCACTGGGGAC